TACCAAATTATCTAAATGACTGACTTGGGCATTATATTCAGTAAGTAGTCTTTTTTTTAGTTGAACAACTACTATATGTACCTCATTGTGTAGGTCTGATAACTGATAAAGGGGCTTTGTTTTGTTTCCACGTGAGATCCACTCACATTGACAACGCATGCATCTTTGGGTCGGCCTGCTTCTGTGACATAACAGCCAATAGGAAAACCAGGATTACAAAACTTCTGTCCCTCTTCAACATCATAGCACCACGTGACCGGCATGTTGTCAACGATCCTATACACAGACACAAAATGAAGGGCTGTGATGGTCACAAAGAATAAACTCAAATAGTCAACAAAGTATTAAAATATCAACTCTTAAAATTTCACATGTTGTTGGTCAGTATTTACATTTCTCATGATTGACAGAATACAAGCTTCCTGAATGCTGAGTAGTGTTTTCACGAATCATACATACCAGTGATGCTGGTAGTTCAGTAGCATGCCTTTCTTGAGGAAGTCCAGTTTTGCTTTGTCTGTTGGGTTGCTGGCATCGTAGGTTCTAGTACACACCTTCTGACACACTGCAGGTTTCTTAAATTCAAACTGACACACAGGACACAAAGTGAGAACACGTTTGCTATTGGTACTCCAACAACTAGTTTCTTTTTCATATCATAATTTAAAATATGAATACACTTCTCTCCACTTTGCAAGTTTTACAATAAACCAAAGGAAATCTATTTGACAAACCGGTAAGTAATTAAGCAAGTAGACCGGGTCGAATAAAAAAAAAAAAAAGTATTATTGATGCAAAAAGTCATTTAAAATAAAACAGAATTAAATATTCAAAAGAAATATATATTAATTTTCCTGGTTTAATCTGCAGTTTATATGTTTATGTGCAGTGGGAAACATTACTTCTACAAAGATGGGGGCTACTGCACTGAATCATTCTCCACAGTAGGGTTTTATTTACTTTCCTATGAATAATTAAAATAAAAATGTAATAATAAATAAAGCAGTTAGAAACATTTTTCTAACTGCCGTGTTTTTTGTGTAACAATGTTGACAGGAGAAATCCCAATTGGAAATAAGCAGCATGGCCTCGAGACAAGCCTCCAGCTTGTCTGATGTTGCGTGTCCTCATAAGAGAGCCACTGATTATTAAACTGACCTCCTTTAAATTTCTGAGCAACCATTTAATGACACTTACATTTTAACTCAGCAGTGTGTTGTACCGTGTTTGAATAAGTCTGAGTTTAAATGCTTGTTACTGCAAATACTAAACATGTATATGCACTAGTGAGTGTCCTTGTGTGAGACTGTGTTGCTTTCAATGCATGTTACCTTGTATGGTGAAGGTTCGATTCGCTCCCCAAAAAGCACCTGTCCCAGATTCTCGGATGGCCGCTTCAAAGTTTTTTCTGAGCAGAAATCAAACCTGAAAAAAAGGAGGCATACATTAAATAGTGTGAAGGAATAACAGGTTACACTTCTTAAAATTTGTTATTCCCCCTTAACACTGCAGTAACTTGGTTTCTTTATTAAATATTCTAATTAGTTACAGAGAGGGGTTTCAGGCATCTGTTTTTGAATACTGAATTTGTATATTTTAGGATAAATTAGCACATGTTGGAATGGTCCTCAATCTGATTACTATTTTCATGAAAATACAATAATGCTAATAAAATAAATAAACAATTGCAATTATGTTAAAACTAAATATAAGAAAATGATTACAATCTTAAACATGCTACCTCACAGCCATTTCAGTTCTATTCATAATATGGACCATCTTTGAGTACATCACCCACCAACCATGTGAAAATAATGACTTTCATACCTAAAAATTATTATATTTGTTGCTGATATTGTAGTTAATATTTTTCTTGTAGTTATCACTGTTGTTTTCTTTTTGAATGTTTACCTAAAAATGTACCTTAGCTTTGAACTGTTATTTGGATGAAAATAAGAGTGAGACAAGTAGTGAAGGCTTAATGTTTATAAATGAGGCGATCAAAAGACAAATATCACACAAAGGAGCAAAGCAGAACATTTCTACTTACGCAGTATACTCATAAGGCAAAACTGACTCCACTGAATCCAGCCTGTTCACAAACAGCTCAATGGTCGACTGGAAGAAAACAAACACAAACATAAACATGTAGGCTTTAACAATATAAACTCAACACACACTCTAATAGCTATAAGAGTGTGACTTTTGATCAATATTCTAACTTTCCAACCAGGACTCACTTACCGTCTGAAAGATCCTGCAGATAGTTAATTGCCAAATAATTAATTTTATAATGAATCAAGTGACAAAGCACATTGTTAGTTATATTATCCGTTAGCTTTGCTGTGGCTACCGTTAGCTGACTCAAAACACAGCTGTTTATTCCTCCTCTTCTGACTTTCAATCCCTGGTCTCTGTTGATTGACTTCTGTTTCACCATCTGATAGCTGTAACACAGGCAGCCTGTGGTAGTTTATATTTACCTTACAGTCTGGAACTTGGTCTTTACCAGGCTCACAGAAGCTGACGGGGGCCAGACCCGGGAGGTAGAAGCCGGCCGCTGGAGCTAGCAGCGCAGCTCCAAGCAGCCAAAGCAACATCTTCACACCACACAAGCTTCTTCTCTTGGTATCTAGACAATACTATCGCTCCTATTCTCGGTTACCCCTGCTGCAGACATCCATACGGGAATACCACCAGCATCCGGGTCTGCAACTTGCAGACACGGGACTCCCAGGCAGACACGTCACATACCGGAAGTCCAGCAACGAAGAGTACCGAGGGCCCGAGTACCGACCTCGGAGTGAGGACGCTATTGTGTCTATAGGAGTTTTCCATGGTATTCCTGTGCACAAATTAATCTCTAATTTGGGGGCTTTAAAGTGCACGAAAATTCTCAAATGTTTGCACCCAGATTAAGAGTGCGCTAGTCAAAATGGCTCAGTGGCGCCCCCTTGAAGTTTTCAAACAAGGCCTCCCGTGATAGGTGTTTTTCTCCCACATGCATGACCATTTTTTACATGATAACGGGTGCTAAGAAAAACTTACAAAAAGTCCATTAACATGGTGGTGAAATGTCTTCAGGAAGTCCGCCAATGATTTTTGAATTTCAAGATAAAGCGTAATTTTCACCGTTTACAGGGTAACTATTTGAACGCAATTGCCCGAAGGCGTTCATCTGATCAATTGAAGTTTGGTATCAGCTGATAGTAGCGAATCACGAGGTTAGGTAACCACTAAGTAGGCTAACCATGAAGTAACCACTAGGTAACCAAGTAACCACTAAGTTACCATTGGGTAACCACTAAGTAACCACACGGTAACCACTATGTAACCACTGGCTAACCTCTAGGTAACCACTAAGTAACCACTAGGTAACCAAGTAACCACTAAGTTACCATTGGGTAACCACTAAGTAACCACTAAGTAACCACTAAGTAACCACTGGCTACCTCTAGGTAACCACTAAGTAACCACTAGGTAACCACTAAGTAACCACTAGGTAACCACTATGTAACCACTATGTAACCACTGGCTAACCTCTAGGTAACCACTAAGTAACCACTAGGTAACTACTAAGTAACCACTTGGTAACCAGTACCACTAGGTAACCATTAGCTAACTACTAAGTAACCACTAGGTAACCACTGGCTAACCTCTAGGTAACCACTAAGTAACCACTAGGTAACCACTAAGTAACCACTAGGTAACCACTATGTAACCACTAGGTAACTACTAAGTAACCACTAGGTAACCACTGGCTAACCTCTAGGTAACCACTAAGTAACCACTAGGTAACCACTAAGTAACCACTAGGTAACCACTATGTAACCACTGGCTAACCTCTAGGTAACCACTAAGTAACCACTAGGTAACCACTAAGTAACCACTAGGTAACCACTATGTAACCACTGGCTAACCTCTAGGTAACCACTAAGTAACCACTAGGTAACTACTAAGTAACCACTAGGTAACCAGTACCACTAGGTAACCATTAGCTAACTACTAAGTAACCACTAGGTAACCACTAGCTAACGTCTAGGTAACCACTAAGTAACCACTTGGTAACCACTAAGTAACCTCTAGGTAACCACTAAGTAACCACTAGGTAACCACTATGTAACCACTAGGTAACTACTAAGTAACCACTAGGTAACCACTGGCTAACCTCTAGGTAACCACTAAGTAACCACTTGGTAACCACTAAGTAACCACTAGGTAACCACTATGTAACCACTGGCTAACCTCTAGGTAACTACTAAGTAACCACTAGGTAACTACTAAGTAACCACTAAGTAACCACTGGCTAACCTCTAGGTAACCACTAAGTAACCACTAGGTAACCACTAAGTAACCACTAGGTAACCACTATGTAACCACTGGCTAACCTCTAGGTAACCACTAAGTAACCACTAGGTAACTACTAAGTAACCACTAGGTAACCAGTACCACTAGGTAACCATTAGCTAACTACTAAGTAACCACTAGGTAACCACTAAGTAACCGCTAAGTAACCAATAGGTAACCACCAAGTATCCACTAGGTTACCAATAAGTAACCATTTAGTAATCACTAAGTAACCTAGGTAACCACTAACTAACCACTAGATAACCACTAGGCAACCATTAAGTAACAACTAGGTAACCACTAAGTAACCAATAGGTAACCACTAAGTAACCAATAGGTAACCACTAGGTAACCAATAAGTAACCACCACTAACCACTAAGTTACCAATAAGTAACCATTTAGTAACCACTAAGTAACCTAGGTAACCACTAACTAACCACTAGATAACCACTAGGCAACCACTAGCTAACCACTAAGTAACTACTAGGTAACCACTAAGTAACAACTAGGTAACCATTAGCTAACTACTAAGTAACCACTAGATAACCACTAGGTAACCATTAAGTATGTACTAGGTGTATTAAGTGTCCAACCAGACACACTTCGCAACAGAGCACACATTTGTTATAAAAAGATCACAATATTCATTAAGTTAGTTGAATATTTTATATTTCTTCATTTCATGTAGTCCTGCTGAGAGCTAAAAACAGGCCTTAACATGAAACTAAACATAAGAAAATAAATTCATTCTCAGAGGACAAGGGCTCAAGGGAAAGCAAGAGCAGTTTAATTTAAGAGTTCAGCCTATCAGCCAAGTCATGAATTATGTAATCAATGTTCACTTTATAACCAGTGTATATTTGTCAAGCAGCCTTGGACCAGACCCCTCGATGCATAGATTTATTAGATACAGAACCAGCATTTAAACCATTTTTTATGGTCAAATATGGCCATTGTTCCTTCACAACATTTTACCTGACACATTCAAAAAATATGTTTTCTGAGAGTGACGGTCACTATGACTGAAGTAGCAACTTGATGTTTCCAATATGTTTTAGTTTCAGTTGTGAGATTGTGTTGATGTTTATGAAGGTATAACCAGAAGGTTGCCAGTAGAAACTTTAAAAGCAACTTGTATTCCAAAAGAAAAAAGAAAGAACTGATAAAGTAAATTAAACAACAAATACACTTCTATGCCAAAACCGTTTTTTCAAGCCATGATTCATGGTGTGAAATCAAAAAGAACATGGGTGCTTCATAATTGTCCGTTTTCCATGTATAGTTATTTTTAAACCATTGCAATGTTTAATTGACAGCATGTCATGTTTTGAAATCTATCAGTATACTATAATTGGAGACAGTTCTACCTAGAATAAGTTACAAGTTTCTGGCATGGGATAAAAAAGTGCCTCTAGTTTTTGACCTCAGCCCTCTGTCCATTAACAGCTACATATCACTTTGATGGCTGATTTCACCGTCCATGACATCCTTCAAGACAGATATCTGGCCGCAGTCTGGCCAGGGAGACTGAAAATCCACTCTCAATAGTCTTTAGTGTAAGGTGCTAATGCAGCTGTGAACATGCAGCAACAGCCCAGCAACAGGTGTCCAGCAACAGGAAATGTTTCAAACATTAGCAGAGACACATTTAATGTACTTCCATTGCTGTTAGTCAATGACTAGTTTTGTAAAAGTTGTTGTGAAGAAGTTGTCTTTGTGCTTTCTCCTAGACATCTTTGCAGTGTACTTCATCCATCAAAAAGACATTCTTTTTTCAGACAGTCAGTATCTGTCTTGATCTCGGCTGTGGATGTCCCTTGTCCATTTAATCATGGTCTCTGGAGATCTATAGAGGAAGATCAATTTGGAGTAAAGTTCCTCTTCCAGCTCCAGTTCGCCTGTCTCTCGCACCTAAAGACACAGAAACTTTAGTTTTTTGAAAAGGACAAAATATTTTAGCACATTTCCCAGAACATTATTATCCCATATGCTCTTTTGTAAAGCGCCTTGAGATAACACTTGTTATGAATTGGCGCTATATAAATAATGATTGATTGAACATGTGGACAGCAGACTATTGTTTTTTCAACATAATACATACATGTTAATTCACCTTATTTCAGACGCTAGAGTGTGATCATATCACATCAAAAACACATAAATGTAGCATTCAATATCTTGTACTAGGAAAAGCTTATTAAAGTTTCTTGTCAGTAAATATCTGTATTGGTGTGTTGACTAATAAGCAGCCACTGTGAACTAACCAGGAAGATGTCTGTGCAGAGCTTCAGGATGCGATCCACACATGGTAACTCTTCAAACATGATGGAGTGGGAGATCTCACTGAAGAAGCCACGTACAAACTTTCCAATGACTAAAACCACAGACACGTACAGACCCATGATCCTGGAAGAGGAGATAAGGAAAAACAAGAAGGGTGAAGAAAACAAAAAATGTTTATTATTTTAGTAATATGAAAAATATTGTGGGTGGAATGTATAGGCTACTTAAAAAAAAGGCTCAATTGTTTGTAAGTGTGTGGTCATTACCCATATCCAGCCAAAAAGCCCAGGCTGGGTGGACTGACTTTGTCATTGAATATGATCATGGGTAGAACACCACATGAGGAGGAGACACAGCCTGCAATGGCAATGTCCCACCACTCCTGGTTTCCGCTGCTGTTCAGTGACTTGTCACTCATCAGGGACAGAGTTATATTCAGGTAACCATCTTCATTACCTACAAAATAACCAATCAGTTGTGTTAAAAATGAAGTGTTAATTAAATGAGGTTAATTAGGCTTTTGGGCACTCTGCTGCCACATATAGTGTTTATCCTTCTGCAAAAGGCATTAAGGCAACGCTTGTGACCAAGTTATTTAAATGAATAGAGTCAGAAGAAAGAATCAAATGATACAACACATTTCAAGGACCGGGCCTATTTGTCACTTGGTATTTTCTAATGTAAGCCATCGTCTTAAAAGTTTTCTTATTTTGCTTCCCCGCTTACTTTCAGTCTATTTCTAGACATGGTTGGCCCATTTTAATTGTTTATTCAATGAAAAAGTTATACCAATGAACTCGTACCTTTATGCAGTTGACTAACTGGTTTAGCCTCAGCTCCATTAGGGGCTCTGATGTAGTTGGGAAATATATTAGGAACATGCCTGTGAAAGAGACATTATCTGTAAGATACAATTAAAGGTACTGAATCAAATACAAAGCACATGTTTTATTGTTGAACCTACACAGGCTCTGAGCGATTGCCGACAAGTAGTGAGGCCAGATCTGCTCTGACTGGGTTCCCAGGTTCCAGGTTTATAGAGTGTTTGTCAAAGGTATGTTCCACAGTCCCGCCTTTACCCAGGTCCCTGTCATTGTTAGGAATATTCAAAGCAAAAGAAGTAGAGATACAATCTGAGAAATGAAAATAATAAATGATGAATCACATATATCCAGTAAAAAAATGTAAACTAAAGTAAAGGCTGCAAGCTTTTCATATAATTTATTGCATCATATATTAAATTATTTAACACTCTAATTCTCAAAATTTCGCAAGTTGGCCCATTTTTTTTCTTTGGGGGTGGGGCTGGGTTAGTGCACAGTGCACATTAGATAATACACAGCTAGCAAAACAGGACAGTATATTTCCTGAATTTGACAAAAAGTGAGTTGAATTACAATTGCACAAGTCATTTCAAATACATGTTCTGTCATCTTTATCTTGCTTTTGCTAGTTGAAAATGACTTGAATAGTTTTATAATCATGAACAAGTGTATTTGAGAGAGCACAAGGGTTTTACCTCTGGAAATTCCAGGCCAGACGTAATGTAAGGTCCACAGGACTTTCAAGGAGTTCTTTAATAACTTCATGTCTGCTGGGCGGGCTTATTCTCCATACTGATCCTGAACTGCCTTCAATCATGGCTGTCACAATGTCCTCATAACTGTAGAGAGTGATGAACTGCATGGCTACCTAAATACAAGTTAACACAAAAATACAGAAAGCAGGACCGTCACTTACCACAATAATTACCAGCAAATGGAAAAAAGTGCCATAACAAACATATGAATAACAATACATTAGAAACAGTCATTTAAGCATTAACTTCTCTAAATGCACTTCATAATTGTTAAGCAATCATTGAAAAAAGAGTTAGAAGGAAAGTGAGTAACCCAAAAAACTTTTTTTTGCAATTCCACTCAAGCTACAAGCTAGCATGGACGGAGGACAAGAAAGGTAAAAGGCACTTCTTATATAGTACCTTTCAGGTCTTCTGACCATACCATACCTTCTGACCAAATCATACCACATGCCATTCACAAACCTATTCATATGAGTATGGCAGAGGCTGCAGTACTCTTAAAAGTTCACCTGCATTTGAGCTATTTTAAGAAGGTAGAGGACACATGTAATGATATGTTTCAGTCATCACTTTAGAGTTGCCTTACTTCATATTTAAAATGCTTCTCAGGCATAAGAAAGGGATCTAAAAGAACGCAAGAACTGTTTTAATCCACTTTGGTGTAGTAAATTGAGGCTCTAAATGGCAGGCTGGACAATTGTTTTTACTTTTTTTTAGCAGGAAATAGAGCAAGCAGCAAAACATATAACCATGAATGAAACTGGAGTCAATACATACCGCATTTTCTCCAAACTTTCCGGTGAGCAGGTCATATTCAGCCTTTGTGAAGGGCTGGATAGATTGTTGCTGCACACTCATGGTAAACAGAGGCTAGACATACACACACAAATACACAATTGGAATCATACATTTGATATACTTTGTCATTTGTGTCATTTGTGTTTTACATTTGTACACTGGAGCCTCAGTAAACTGTGACGATCAGTTGTTACTGTACATTTAAACTGTACTAAAATCATATGCATGGTAACCCCTCTTAATCCACAGTATGTTTTAATTAAACACGTCAAAGATTATTTAATCACTGAAATAACTTCAAAGCATTTAGTACATTTGTCAAATGTGTTTTGTAATTATCCTAAAATGATTTTCAAATTGTATTGTTAAATTATAAGAACTTATCCCAGTATGTCATATCTGTAGCTTAATTAAGTGCATTACTTTGAATTTTCTCAATTTCAAGGTATTCAGAATGCTTTCTGAAGTGTGTTTACCTCATATCCTCCTAGTTTTACAGTCACTGTGACATCGATGGGGTGGTTGACCACACCCACCACTGATCTGACCAATGAAATGAAGAGAAGCGGAAACCATATTATGCAAATCAAGAAGAAGATGATGAGTCCACCCATGCCGTATTTCACTATCTTTTTCTTCTTCTGCCCCTTAGGCTGTGGGTATTTCTGTGGGCAGAAATAACAACAAACACTATGTCTTACAATCATGTTGAAATGGGAACTTAGCTAGTAAGCAGCTTTAAGATGCAGATGATACAGTTCTATATGTATCTGGTAGGACCACTTTGTCAGTTTCTAAACAGTTTATCATCCAAAATCCATAGCAGTTGGATTTGAGAGCTCAAATATCCCTAAACTTTAAGAAATCTGTCTGTTTTCTTTTTTCCCGGTCCTCATTAGAAGTCTACGAGTTAAAGTTAAAAAATGAATGGGCAATGTATTGAACAGTTTCAGGAAGTTCATTATCTTGAACTTGTATTAGATCCATACTATAATGTGAGATGAATGTGAAAATGATGAGTCAGACTGCAAAAGAAAACTTAGGTTTCTTAAAGACTGTCATATTTAAGTTATAGTGTAACCTCCTGCTCACAAGCAGCAACTACAATACTTGAGCTGAAACAGTTTGAGTATAAAATTAAACAGAGGTCTCAGAGATATATGCATCGATGATCCAATGCTTTTTGAAATATGGCATCCTGTATTGTAATGTTTGTTTTGTTGTGTTTGTTTTATGCAGTTGTTTGTGCATTTGTTGATTTTGAAGTATTTTAAAGGCACAATAAGGGCTGTAGTGTGTGTCTGGCATCAGTTTACATGTTTCATACTTGTCCCTATATAAACATTCGTTTAAAAAATAAAAAGAATAAACCAGGTCACTCATGGACTGCTGTCATGTCACTATACTATCCTTATACATTGCATACCTTCTCGGTCTCACGACTGCATTTAATAATGAAGGTGTTGGCATAAATGTCTTCAACACACATCCAGTTTGACAGAGAGAGAGTGGTGTCAGTCCACACCCAGTCCATCACTGCTCGCAGCTCCACTAGGAACGGCACCAGACGAAACCTACACACCCACACACAAGCATCATACATACCATTACCACTAAATCAAGATGAATGGAAGATTAATTTATTATAGAAAATGTGGAAATTAGTTTTGGCTAGTGCTCCAGATATCAAAATACTATGTAGTAATATGTTTTCCTTAGTAGTGACAGAGGTGCACAATCTTTGTCTATACAAAATCACTACATTGTGGATCTCATAATTTTTTACATCAACAAACAAGAAATGTTTTAATTCAAATTCAAACTGAAAAACATAATTGATTCTTGTGACATCTGTATTAAATGTTTATTCTCCTACACAGTCTACACAGCTGTCAATTTGATTTGTCTCCATACCCTTGGAAGAGGAACAGGTTGAGGTGGTTGTATTTCTTAGTGAGGAAGTTGCCAAGGATACGAGTTGGGTATCCACAGCGGATCTGATAGGCGGACAGGCCAAAGTAAATGCACTTGACAAAGTACCAGAGCTGGGCCACAAAGTTCTGATTGAACTTCCTAGAGGATAAGATAGAAGTATGATTAAAGCTTGTGAAATGTCATTTGTAGAAGTTTCCTGATTAAAATCTCAGAAAATATGAAGTCTTACAATCAGATAGATGCAGTGTTACTCTATTATAATGCCAATGCCTAAATCACAAGTCACTGTTATTAACTTCGTAGGCTTTGCAATAATTCCCAACACACCACCATTGGAACTATAACACAATAGTTACATGATTTAGTGCTACTTCACCTTTCAGTGACAGCAGGCAGGATGAAGAACATCCAGAGGTGGATCCCAAACACAAGAGTCACCTAGAGCAAAGGAATGAAAGAAAGAAGTCTTAAGTTGAATAAATACAGTTTTACTCATTACATTTGAAGAACACTTAAAACAGGCATTTAAATTATCCCCGGGGTCTGATATGATGTGTGATGTTGAAAAAAAAGAACAAACAACTAAGAGAGACCCACAGTCCTAAACCTCTGGTCTAAATCAAAAAGACAAACCAGAAAAAGAATGATTATTTGATTCAAATGATTTAAACTCAACCTGGAAGATGAGTTTTCCGAAGACAGCCTTGCGCAGGTACAAAGCTCTGTCGATGATCATTGTGCTGAACTGGATAAGCAGCATAACCAGGAAGGCCTCAGGAACCTGGTCCTCGGACAGGGTGGAGGCTATATCAGCTGCTGCACTGTGTTTCTGAGGAGGGGAGATAAAATGGAGAAGGAGCTTTTCTAAATCAACTGATTCAAATCTTAAAATCACGTTATGTTGTTAACCACCTCGCTCACAACTGTTTATTTTTTCATTCATCTTTATGATTAATAAATGGGCCAAATCACAACTTCCATCAATTCATCCATCCATTCATCAGTTTCTTACCCCAAATGCCCAAAAGCCAAAGACGATGATTATGAAGTCGATGACATCGGTCAAAAACATGAGAGCATAGACATCCGTGGCAGCCCGATATTCAGGGTGGAGAATACCACTGAAGAAACACTGAACCGGCCCATAAACTCTCTGAATACTGCAAAGGGGAAAATAGGTAATTATTTAACCCCCTTATTGATAAAAAAAAAAAAAAAAAAAAAGGTTAAAACATTTTTTAATACCTTTGGAGTGCATTGAATTTTTTTTTTTTAAGAAACATAAAATAATCAAGTCATTGAGTGAGTTCGTTTAATTCAGTATATTGCTTAATTCTTACAGGGTCACTCTGCATTTGGTAACATTGTACAGTATCCTCTATACCAGTAGTTGTCAACTGGTGGGTCAGGACCCAAAAGTGGGTCGCAGAGCTGTTTTCAGGTGGTCGTGAAGAAAAATGCTGTAAAAAGTCTATATGAAGCGCTTTCTTTAACAAGTTTGTTTCATTCAGTTTCTTTGTTTCAATCATACTTTGTACCATCTGAGGTCCAAACTTCACAATTTTCCTTTAAATAAATCGAATTGATTGAAAAATATAAGAAATTTGCGTCGCAATTTTTCGTGAAGGAGTAGTTGGTGGGTCCTGAGGCTCGACCAGTTGAGAACCACTGCTCTATACAGTACCCCACTTACCCAGAGATAACCACATGTTTTATCTTTTGTCCTATAGCCAACAGCCTCTGACTGGCTACCTCTGCCCGCTTCCTTTTCTGCTTCTTCTTCACAGGTTCTTCACTGGGTACATCGGTATCAGCTGTGGGTTCCACTGCAACAGTCAGCACCACAACGAAAGAGAGATTGAAACAGAATTGCAGCACATAGAAATGCAGCAGCGGGTGCTTGCCTGACACATATTTACCTATTTTGCACATGCTATTTCAGTGTCTTTTGTTCACACATCTGCACAGACATAAACAAGATATACTGATACTAATGTTTGACAACATCATTCTCATGCATATTCTTTATTTTTCTAAATGTATTTCTCTAATTTTGCTTTAAAGTCCCAGACAATTTATAAACAACACTAAATCTTTCAGACTGTTCTAGTTCCTAGTTTCTGTCTAAAACATAAGTTTACCATAATTAAAGCCTTGTCTTAATCACTACAAAAAGCAAGCTGAAATAGTTGGTGCCCAATTAAGGATATCTAAAGAGAACCATTGCCAGTACCTCATTATTATAGACTGATGACAAAACTGAATGTTGCACAGCTTAAATACTGCTTAAACACAATACAGTTCAGACATAAAATTATGTCTTTGCAACTTTATTTCCAGTGCTATAATTGATATGTCATCATGTTTGCCGTCACGTCTTAGACCTGCTGGCCCAATTAACCTCACAGACAGTCCCACCAATGATTAAGTGAGAATGGTCTGAGAATGTGATAAATCTAAACAAAAGGCAACCAAAAATGTTATGAATCGCACTTTTTCTCATTAACTCCAGACCTATGAAAGCCACAAACCTTTGTTCTGCTCTGTTTTGGGCTGTTTCATTTTCTTGCGTAAGCGGATACTTCTTTTTTTGGGGGGGTCTTCCTCCAAAAGCTGCTCATTGCCTTCCTCCATCTTACTCTCCCAAGGCCTGCTCGGAAAAGTCAATATGTCCCTCAGCCCAGACAAAGTTTCCGGTTCATCGTTTGACTCAGTAGGTTCTGGTTCAGCAGGTTGTTGTGGGGCAGGAGAGCTGGTTCTTGATTTAACCTTGTCCACAATATCCTATATTGACAAACAATGGATTTAAAAAACAATGAAAGTGGATTATTATACAATATAATATAATACAATATATAATAAATATATATACAACAATACAATGTGAGAATCTATAACATATATTAGTATGGCATGATGTTGCTATGGTCAATAGATCACTTTTATTTTTTAAAGCTGCTATTGATGGTGAAGTGACAAAAAGCAAGCTTCACCTACCTTTTCGAGTCGATCATCTCCGGTACTTTCCGGGTAATCTAGGCTGATTGTTGAGCTAACTCTGCCTTTCAATTCTTTCTCTTCTCCTTCTCCCTCCTTCCCTTCATCTTCTTGTTTATTTTTATTTTCTTCATTACAACTTTCTTCTTGGGCATTTTGCTCCGCTAAGGGGCCCTCGTGGTCCCAGAGGCCGTAACGCTGTGAATACATGAAAAAGAATGTGATGCTTAAGTTATTCTTATTACCTTTATGCATCTATATCAATTGGCCTTATGGCTTTATCCTGCAATACTAAACTGTATACTAATTAAAATGCAGGATTATTTTCCATGAGCTATATGCATTCTTAAGTCTATCAGTTTGTTGTATCACCATTTAACCTGTTAGCAACTAAAGACTAAAAATGTCTGCATATAATATCTATATATTGTCAAATACTTCCCTTTTGCATTTAAATGAACTCAACCTTAGTTTAAGGTTATAATACATAATATTTAGAGTGTTGTTAGAGTGAGCTTTAGATATTGTAATCATATGACATCATCATGATATCATTGGGATAGTGATTACGGTACGTAACTAACTATTTACCTGATTTTATATTTTAAAACGTGGTAGCAGCCAGTTCTGCCCTTGTTACTTTCATCCTACACCATAACTGTGTGGTTGCTGATTGTGGAGTGTTAACATCTGTAAACTGACCATGAGTAGAGATCTGTGAAAGAACAGAGCCAGCAGCTGAAGAAGATCATATTTGATGTAGTTGTCCGTTTTCTCAAGGCCCAGGATGCAAGGTGGGAAGAAAGGTTTGTCCTCATTTAGGTTTATCTCATACACACTGTTCCAGGGAAAGAATCCAAATTGGAAAAGGTATTTCACAACCACCATCACCTGGAGAGAAGCAGAACAGCCCGGCAGTGCCAAGTGTCAGATTGGAAAAGAAAAGAGATGAGACAATATTTCACAACCTGTGTCATATTAGATCAGTCAACAATTATTTCATTACAAAGGTCAGAATTTTTCAAGTTGTATCCCCGGTGATAGAGATACAACATACTGTATAATTCAATATTTAGGGGACACGATGAAGTCTGGGGGTCAATCACAAGGTCTACATTCAAAGTGCATAATCAGGCCTCCATGTTATTCTTAGATTCTAGTAATATGTAATATAAATAGTGTAATTTAGCATTGTATTTTTTTACTTGCCATTGTTTCAAAGCAACCTTATCATATTTTTTATCTTTTCATATCCAACTCTTAAAAAGGTCTGGACTGCAAAGCCTAGCGGTTATGTCGGGCGCCCCATGTATAGAGGCTATTGTCGTCATCCCAGAGACTGTGGGTTCGAATCTGACCATGGTCCTTTGCTGCATGTCACCCCACTCTCTCCTCCTAACCTCTCCTGTCTCTCAGCTGTCATATCCAATAAAAATGGCAAAAGGCTCAAAGAATAACTGAATAACCTGAACTGTAGAGCATGTTGGACAGTCATATTAAACATATGATTAAAAAAATCATTTCTCTGTGTTTGCTAAGCCTTTAACTGGTATGTTTTGGGCATAAATAAACGGCCAATTCTAACGTTATGCAACGTCCTGGTCATGGCTGACCTTTGTTGTAACCTCTGGGTAATTATTTTCCATAGCATTTGCACCTTGGTCATTGCTGATTTGAATGTAGCATGCATAAAATATTACATCTCATTCTCATTCATTTTTTTAACATCAAGTCAAAAAATTCCCTTATGTCTCTCCTGCTTAATATATTCTAAACACTTGGTTGGTTGCTGCCAGGACAACAAGTGACAAAACAACATTTGGAAATGAAGCACCTTTAAAAAAGTTTGTATTAGCATTTCTATTGTGTTTTGTCTACCTGAAAAATAAACCCTGTCCCTTTGGCTCTGGTAGATCTCTAGCCACTAAATGCTCTTCTGTGTTCACTAGCTGGTCAAAGATTTGTGTTTATTGCTAGAAATGATCTGAGAACTGATTCTGAACTGAAACAGTACATTAGAGTTGTCAAACCCAAACAAAGCACAGAGAGGGGCTAAAACAACTGCATAGGGCTGGGGGACTCTGCAATTGACTTGAAAATGTATGAGAGGTTGTGCCACTAGGCCCCATTTCACATAACATACTATAATGGCTTTTAGTTTCATCTGTTAACAGAGAGCAGAGCTAAATTTGGATCTCTGGTTCTGATATCAAATTTTAGCTAAGTGCAACTACATAATGGCATTGCTGTTTCAGCCCACTATACAGGGTCACTAGTACAGGTAATGTGCCCTGTAAAGCAAAACAAGAACAGACATATTCCAGATGAGTTGGATATAACAATTTGTGAGTTTTTGGAACATCATCTGATTTCTGTATTTTAAACAATATGAATTCATGTTTATTTGACTTTGGTGAGTTACAAAATTGTAGTACCATAAAAAGTATAAATGTTAGATTTTGTTTCTGACCTGCCACTCAGAGGCCGTGATTCCTTAGTAGTTTTGAATCATGCAGTGAAACAGTAGGAACAATTAGCATCTCCCTGCAATGGTAAATAGTTAAGAATGTACTTGTTTTGTCAGGCTGTCTCTCAGTGTTCATACCTCTGTGTACACTATAGCAGTCATCCAAAACCTCTTGGTAGGTCTTGGAACAGACAACATAGCCCATAGGAACACTAGTATGGGCAGGGCCAGTGATATCACAGAGGCACTGACCCCATTGTTCAATACAATGATGAAATAGCAGACTAGCTCTGAGTTGGCTGCAAGCAGATGGTACAAGGAAAACAGCAGCTTCAGCAGACGGTTCTGGCCTGTATAGAACTCTCTGCTCTGCTCCAGCTCCTCAATGTAGAACCCCCTGCAGAGAGATATGGAAAGTCATAACTTAGATATTTAATGCATTTGTCACTTTTGTCATCACTACAGTTTATAGAACCAATGCAATGAAACTAAACAAAGTTGGAATAAAATACAGTTTACTTTACACACATTTACGACCAAATCTTTTGCAAAGATTGCTCAACTACTTCTAAATACAACAACATTTTTGGAGTCATGAGGGTCAAATGAAACAAGTGGCCATTGGCACTTTAGACGATCTTGTCCTCTTTAGTCATCATTCTCTGAAATATCTACCTCTCTCCCAGCAGTTCACTTGCAGTTCTTGAGTGTCTCTGTTGTTTCGGCGTCAATGGCAACAGCTCTGCACTACTGGACAGTGGCTCTGGACTCAAGAGGGTCCCGGTGCTGTTGAGCCTTTCCCTGGAGGTAGAATGTCCCGTCAAACCCTTGTTATCCTCCTCCACGCAACTAAGAGTTATCCAATAGAGGTGTATAATCACACCAGTGAAATAAAAATACATGAAAAAGAACAAACTAAAGCTGAGAGGTGTATTATTACAGTACAGTAAATTGTCAATAAATGTTTATCAATTTTTTAAGAGACAACATCTTTATCAAGATGGCGCAGTGATTCAATACTCTCAATGTTTAAAATATAAATACATCACCTAGAAGACGTGATATTTTAATTAAACCATATTCACAGGCAGATGTGCCTTACTTCATTGTTTGCAGGGAATAAAAGACAAAAGTGACACAATTGTTTTCCCCAAACTAACCTGTATTTTGAGTATTCTGCATCAGTTTCATCCAAACAGGTCTCCAGTGTTAGATTCTCGCTTTCCTGAGATACCTGGTCCTCTGTGGAGTATGCTGTGTTAAGATTCTGCACATCAGAGAGAGACATAATTAAGTCATGTTTGTGTGTGTGTGTGGGTGTGTGTGTGTGTGTGTGTGTGTGTGTGTGTGTGTGTGTGTGTGTGTGTGTGTGTGTGTTTGTGTCCATACTGAATGATTCATTCCATAAATCTATTTTGCACAACAGAGATCTCCTTGTTTTGTTTACCTGCTGTATCTTGTGAATGATGAAGTAACGTTCATTGCACAGAACAGTGGATGTGTCTCTGTACTGTTTTGTCAGAAGATTGAGCCACTGAGTCAGTCCATCCAGCATGGCCAGAATAATGGCCCATAAAAAGCGCAGGATATCCAATATTCTCTGAACCATCTCGCCATGACCTGCAAGATGCAGACAGATAGGGGGGAAATTGCTGATTCAGGGATTTCTATGGTTGTTTAAATGTATGTTTGGATATGAAAAGAAAACAGTTTCTGCCAAAATATTTTTACAACATTTCTATTCTGTCTCGTTAGCTATGTTTTATATTGACAGCAGTAAAATAGATATGCTAACAAAGATATGTATTATGCAAATACCTGCATATCAACCCAGTGTTAAGACTTACTTAGCCAGCTTTATGATACTTCAATTATATTCTATTTACCTGTTGCATTTAACTCTCATTCAGTTGATAAGAATCCTATTTCTGAATATACAAGTAATATACCTAATTTCTGTTCCTCCCACAACTTGTTATCACAATAACAAACTACTAAAACAAGAGGAAGTTGTTCATTCACTGTGCTTTGTATCACAGCAGACACAGCAACATGTGATAGTGAAAGTTTAAGGAGAGATACACCTTGAATATAAACCTACTAGACTCTTGTTCCTCTGGCTCGTCCTCCTCCTGATTGATAAGATCCTCAAACACATCGTTGTCTCCACAACCTACACAGTAACAAACAAACACACACACACTCAAATAATGTACAGCAGTTCTTTCTTAAATAGTCCCTGGGCAAGAGAACTGAGTTGCTGTCAACGGGCAGGACAGCACAACAAAACAGATTCACAGTGAGTGGGAAATTCAATCATTTGATATTTCCACAGTGATAGTTCCTAATAATAGTTCCTCACAAACGCTTTAAATGTAATCCTTAAATATTCCATAATCAGCTTTCTAGCTTTAACACACTAGATTGCACAAACATAACCAGATCAATTTGAAACTTGTAGCTCCTGCTAGAATATAAAATTGTTAATCCAATTTGGATGTGCTTAATCTTAACCACAAGGTATTCTGATCTCCAATGACCAAACCAATCCAATAGCAATACACAGAGGCGCTGCTTGTCAACAGGCAAGGCAGGCAACCACTTAGGGCCCCAGGCCAGTAGGGGGCCCCCAAGGGCTAACAAACTTAAAACCACAGCAGTAGTTCAAACTGTGCAAATTTTGCAATGACTGTACGAAGGGAGCCCCATCTGAGAGCACTTCCTCTCTTTGTCCTGCTGAGCATCTCATTCAGTATTCCTGTTAAAATTGAACAGGAATTGCCCCCCAGGGACAAATAAAGTTTTTTGAATTGAATTGAATTGAATTGAATTGAATTGAATTGAATTGAATTGAAAAAACCCCTGAAGGAACTGAAAACAGAACAATGGTGATTGGGGGGGCCCACAATACATTTTTACCTCGGGGCCCCAACAGACTCTAGAGTCGCCACTGGCAATACAGGCAGCAAAGATACACAGACATGATCACTTGTGCTAGTTGAATGTCATTAAGTTAATGAATTAAGATAACCTTTTGTTTTTTTGTACATAAGCAAGTTTGATGTCTCTATATTTTGATTTTATTTCATATATGATTTTTATCTGAATTTACCAATGGGAGTGGGAACTCAGGGGAGGGTACATCTTTTAAAGGGGAGCTCAAGGCCCTGCTATCCTATCTCTTCTGGGCTGACTCACTTTGGTCGATTATTGTTCAAAATTCAACATATTTTTGTAATTCATGACTAAAGCAGCCTGTGCAAAAACTGTGACTACTCTCGTTATTTATGTTCTGCTACACATTGCTTTACAAATCAAATGTAAAAGTAGACTTCAATCAGTCCTGTCCATTCTGGGCCTTACTGTTGACCATGTGTTCTCCTGGGCCAGATTTATTTCAGAGTTTTAGCATCTGGTATGGAAGCCCTGCTAGTAAATAAGGATGCTAACATACCTATGACAGAGAAAGCCTCCTGCTGTGAATCGACGACTCCTTCTCTCTCTTCCGTCTTTCGTTCAATCCCCTTTAACTGTCTCTGGCGCTTCTGGCGCTCCCTTAAAGCTGTTTTGACACTGGCCACCCATGCTTGGTATGCCAACTGTGAACACAAGACACAAAACACAAAACAATCTGTTTTGACACTGCTTGTATTCGTAGCAAATATTTTTAATGACAATTGCAACTACAAAGAGTAGAAATAATTAGGTGTATATATTTGTGGATATTAAACATATTTGGGTGGGATGAGACACTGACTGGATCTCCTGATTCAATAGGGGGCTGTATTGTGTTTTTTGTCTGTACAGTAAAAAAATATATATTTATACACTAATAGAAACTAAGATGCTCGCCACATGTGGTGCGGCTGTGACTCAGCATTTATTCTCCATAGACTCACTTATAATGATCCAGTATGGGTGTTATTATTTTAGTTAATATGGTCAAATCCAATTTTGACAAGCGGACAAAACCTCTCACCCTTCCTGAGATCTTTAGAGCACCCCTAGGGGGACCCAGACCCCAGGTTGGGAACCAATGGTTTAGAAGGCTACTGTGCAGGCTTTTATGTGTTTGCTCTTCCTCTGGACTATTAATCTCCTAGTGGAAACCTTTTTTCTCCACCACATGTAAAAGTTTTTGAGGGTATTATGACCACATTTTGGAGATTTGATTGGCTGAGTAGTGTCACTTGGGATGAATTTATTCAGAACAAGCGGCTGAGTGGAGTGATTTGCATTTCCCAATGATGTTGTACTCCATAGCATCACTGGTGGAATGCCACTCTATCTGATCAGACAGGTTGGTACCTGACAGGCAGTCTGTTTCTGAGGCTTCTGTTCTTCAGACTGTAGATCATCTTCATCTTCACTGTCTGATTCAAACAGGTAGTACTCTCCTGAGTGGAGCACTGTTATCAGAAGAAACACATTACAATTTCAACATACAAAGATGACCTGACACTTTGCATCACAAGGACTATTTCACTGTAGGATAGGTGTAAGTCTTACACCTATCATTGGCTTGTCTCACCTGTAGCATGGTCCAGCCACGGCTGATGCCACTTTTTCTTTCTGGACTTCTTCTTGTCTGTTTTGATCTCTGAAAAGAAATAGAAGCTAGTAAAGGTTATATGCTTATAAAGATTAACAGGGTTCAACATTCTGTTGACATTAAAGTAAAGTGGTGAACTGACTGTACTTATGTAGCTTTTTTCTAATCTTTTACACATGTCGTATTCATCCATTTACACACTAATGGCTAAAGTGTGTTGCACATTTTTTTTTTTTTTAATTAACAGATCCAAGATGACATGGCAGGGGTGGAGCACCTACCAGCAGTCGGATTCTTTTCAGATTCCTCACTGGTTTTGTGTCCGTCTCTGTACTTCTGCTGCTTTGAGCGTATTCTCTGCATTCTGAGAGAAGAGCAAGGGACAAGAAAAAAAGAGACCAAAGACAGGTACATGAACTCTAAGGCCAGTTGGCAACACTTTTCCACTATAATGGAAAATGTGACTGTAAATTAGAATAGGTCTTGTTGAATTTTCCCCATGGTTATAATGAGATCGTATACTCATGTTTTACAGATCTTTGATACAGTGCATTTTGTTTTCGCAACAAGCTAGACACAGATCTTGTATAAGAAAACACATTGGAAAAGAATTGGAAAGCTGACCACGAGCCAGGACTTATCATAAAATAATAGTTCAACATGAATAATTAAACTGGAGCAAAGCAACAAACTGCTGCAAACAGTTCCAACTTTATAATAGTCGTCCACATATTGTTAATAGACGGTTTACAAGCTAATTATTAACCATTAAGAAATATCTGGTCCATGTATCTATGTAATGTTTATAGATGTTTTATAAAGGATCTCTTAAAGGTTTACAAATCATTTGGTAATCATTAACAAACACTTTATAAAGTGTATGAAATGTTATAATGTGTGCAACAATAAACTGTTAACATAACATCGATTATCAAACATTATTAACTATCATTTCATTCTTTGTTAACAGTAAAATAACTATTAACTAAAGTTTAATTAACTATACATTTATCCTTTATATTATTGATGATGGTTATTATAAAGTGTTACCGAATCAATTCCCTAAATATCAGGATTTTTATTGGACGTTCTAAAAACTAGTTTTTTTTCCTTCATATCGGAAATTGTGACGTCATATCTGTTTGCGCAAAAAACAGCCGATGTGAGCCAAGAGCAGCTAAAAGACAAATAAAGCAGACTTCTCAAAATCCACAACTCTTTAAGGTTATTAAAAAAGCTATAACTCTGTGTTATTTACCATCAGTCTCTCTAACTGAATATCCTCGTGAAGTACAAGTTGTTGTCATCTCTGTATGCATTCAGTTTCAGACTTGAAAGGAGAAAAAACAAAACTTTCGGGGGGGAATATTACTGAACTGACCTGGATTTCTAAAATTCTACTTCAGCTGTCAGCAGTTCAAGGCCGAAATAATGTATGGTTCACTCCAGATTTATCTAACTCACTTCATGAGCGAACTATAGCATGGGCAAAAGGCAGGAGATCAGGTTTGGATTCGGATGCTCTCACAGTTGCAATTAGGAAAGCCAAAGCTGATCATTTCCTCACAGAAACCTCAAGCAACCTCAACAATCCCCTGAAATTCTGGAAGACAATTAAATCCCTGGCTGAAAATGAAAATGGAATTGAGCTTCCTCAATGCATTTTTAAGGACTCACTTAAAGTCACTGATAAGTCCAAAATGCATGCTGTCTTCAATGAACATTTCATAGCCTCTGGCTCCTTGTTTGGCTCTTTTAGCGATAAGCATATAAATTCCCCTACTGTCTGACTGTCATGTTACAGGTAGTCAATCCTTCAGTTTTCAAGTCATTTCAGTCTCAGAAGTGATCAAAGCCCTCAAACTCCTTGACACAAAAAATTGCAGGTCCTGACAACTTGGAGCCTTATTTTTTAAAGCTGGCAGCTGATTTTATCACACCACCTTTGACACATCTTTTTAATCTCTCCCTGGACACAAACAAAATTCCTCTTTTATGGAAATCTGCATTTGTTCTTCCCTTGTTGAAAGGAGGGGACCCTACAGTGTTAAATAATTATAGACCCATCTCCAAATTGTCGGTCCTGGTTAAGGTTCTGGAGTCCAATGTGAGTGAAACACTGAAATATTTCCTACTATCAAACAATATCTTATCTGACTTTCAGTCAGGTTTTAGGAAAAAGCACAGCACAACTACAGCGGCCTAAAAAGTGGTCAATGATTTTATAGAATTTTTAGACAACAAACACCATTGTGCAGCACTCTTCATTGATTTATCAAAGGCTTTTGATACTGTGGATCATGTAATACTAAAGCAAAGACTAAGTAGTGTAGGACTATCAGACAAAGCGGTCTGCTGGTTTGAAAGCTGCCTTTCTGGAAGATCTCAGTGCGTGCAGGCAGAAAGCATCACTTCTAGCTCCCTTGTAGTATCCAAAGCTGTGCCCCAGGATGACACTGTGATATACTGCTCTGCACCTACACCAAATCAGGCCCTTTGTCAGCTACAACTTGCTTTTAATACTGTACAACGTACCTTGTGTGACTTAAAACTTGTGCTGAATGCTGATAAAATGAAACTCATGATGTTCTCAAACTCCAAATCAAAGCCACTGAACCTTCCTGCTATCACCATCTTTCAGGGCTTTGAAACTGAGTCTGTATCTCAATACAGATATCTGGGATTTGTGATGATTCTCTCTCTTTTAAGCCTCACATTCAACAATTTGTAAAAAAATAAAAAAATAATAATAAAATTAAAATTAGGATTTTATTTCAGAAATAAGTCTTGCTTTTCATTTAAGGCCAAAAAAACACTTGTTGCTGCCACTTTCATGTTGGTGCTAGACTATGGCGATGCTCTTTACATGCACGCATGTAAAGTTTGCTGCTCCCTCTGCTTGGAATCAGTTGCAAGATACTTTAAATCTTCAGGAGCTGGTTTCCTTGAATGTTTTTAAAGGTCGTCTTAATGATCTGGAGGCAGAAATATCTGACTGTAGATGTTTTAGCTAACTCGTATTGCCCTTTTTGATCGCTTTGTTGCTCATGACTTATGACAGATTCTGATGAACTGGTTCTTTTTGTGATTCCTGTATCTATGTTCATTGTTGTTAAGTGTTTTATGTCTGAAACCCTGTAATTGTGCTGCTGCCTGTCTTGGCCAAGACGCTCTTGTAAAAGAGATTTTTAATCTCAATAAGACTTTTTCCTGGTTAAATAAAGGTTAAATAAAAAAAAATAAAAAAATACAACTGGTTCACCAGTGTGAGTGTGTAGGATAGCTGTCAGCAAGGCCCTGAATGTCGCTTTTCCGAGCAACCAATCATATACTAGATGGGAAAGGACCTGTTGCCCGGAAACAATCAACAAATTACGTTTTTTGCTTAAAAACGGAAAAGGAAATAATTACAACATTAATAGGCACCAAAAAAATATTGATGAAATCAAATCAGGACAAAAGTATATCATCAAAGCCATAATTTTCTTCATACAGCTTTCCACTTACGATCTCTTGAGCTGTGACAAGGATTTTCTCTCAGCTTGCTGGTGGAACCTAATATTCTTCACAATGCTGGTTTTAAAAAGCTCAAACCCCCTGGAAGACAGAAAAAGCTGTTATTGCATTTGTCAGCAAGTAACAGCCATTAGCAAGTTACTGAGGAAGCATTTTTCACAGTTTCATTTTAATAAACAAATCAAATGTAATTCTGTCATGGTAATCTCTATATTTGGGATCCTCATCAAATCTAACCACATTTGTTTACAGAGAAGGAAAGTTTCCATTAATAGTAAAGAAGTTTTCCCATTACTTTTTTCTTCTTAGATTATTGGATTGGAAACATATTTAAAAAAAACAATTACATGTAATGGACATTTCTTTCCCTACTTAGTGTTTTAATAATCTCATGATCTCAGTGCTCTGTGCAATGAGCCTCACCTCGAGGCCTGTTTGGCAGAGGCCTGCATCTCTGCCACCACATGCAGGAAGTAGAAACTGAGAAAGACCCTCCTCTGCAGCAACAGACAGAGAAAACAGATGCTGTCCCAGATAATACCAGCCTCTTCCACTGGGAGGGTGCAAGTCTTGTCACTCACTGCTTTTGCTGTCCAGGAAAAATTAAACATAATGACAAATACAATCAATCAAAGGCAATAAAAAAAAAATACTTTCATGCACAGGCACAAGTCATTTCATATTGATTTATGGGTTTTTTTTGTACTGTTGTACATCATCGTGGACTACTTCATTACTAATGCAACTTACGGTCATAGTATCCTTTGACAGTGCAAACCAGGCTGAAGAGCTGAATAACCCAACAGAAGCCTTTCTGCATCTCAAACACAAATACACACGCAAGGATCTGAAACATAAACACAATCATGTTCAAAAATGTTAACAAAAAGGCCAAAAAAATCTTAAAAGAAGCACCAAATACTGTGTTCAGTACTTACTGATAACATATTTTTAGATACAATGACTGCCACATTATAGATGATGAGACAGTCCCACAGAACCAGGCGGGTTCTGGATGGTTTGACAAACAGCTGGGTCCCAAACAGCAGAAAAAAGAAGCAGGCGAGTAGGTAGCCGAGCCCAAACACAGAGATCCTGGTGGCTCCAGTGATAAAAACCACTGACAGCACCAACCAGAAAAGGTGACGAAATACCAGGACTTTAGCCATGTCCAGGTAACTCCTACGGGAGGACAGGGAAAGTATATTCAATAAATATTCAATAATAGAAGCCTCCTCTCTCTCTGATGAGGGAGCAGCAGAGAGAGAGAGCAAGGGAGAGAAAAGTATGACAATTATCCAACATATTATCCAACTTTCTGTGTATCGAAATTTAAGACGCCATTTTGCTACTCTTCATGAAACATTAAAAAAAAGAGAGTCATTTTTTTTCTGCAGCATCTGGAATCTTAGACTGGAACACTGATGGATAGCAAGACAGAGACAGAGATGCTCTATTTACCTGCAGTTGATGAAGTTGGGTGCAGGGTTAAACGGTCGACCTTCCATTGGTTCAGGGTCATCTGTGTTCTCTCCTGCCTGAACCATCCAGTCCTCTGTGTGCTCAACCTCAAACACCTTCCACTGCTGAGATGCACACATCAGCAGCACAAAGTCCGCTGTGGACACACATTAAAACACATTTCATAATCAACATTTTTGTTGTTTACTATAGACTCTACTTTAAATGTTTTATTTTAAATGTATTTAACCAGGAGATTAAGAATCTAATTTACAAGAGTGTCCTTGCCAAGAGGGGCAGCAGCACACACGTCTTAAAAACAACAACTTTTACAATGACTTGTATTACCCAGCTAAGACAGAGCACAAACATTTTCATTAAAAGAAGACACGTTCTTGTACAGGACAGGCTCATCAAAGAGATATACATACCAATTTTCCTATTAGGGCCACAAAAAATTGACAGAAAATATAAGTTTTTCATAGCTACTTTAATTAAAATTAACTCTACTTTGAGTTCCTACATTTACAGTTGAACTATGATCACTGGTATATACATTTGCAGTATGTATGTAAAGTGTTGTGCTACTTGGAGTCTGGGATATCGATCAAAAAGTTTGAATTGAAGTCTAAAATGTATCTGTTCTGTAAGGAAAACTATTTGGGTTAAAAAGAGGGCACTGAGTGACAGCGTACAACATGTCTGTTAAAGTTGTGGAAATTAAATTGGAAAAATGTACATTTGAACATTTAAATAATAAACAATAAAGGATTGTTGAGTTTATGCAGCAAACAGCATCAATACAAAAAAGAAATACAAAGAAATCAGAAAACAGGAAGTGAAAGTATGGAAATAAGACATTATCTTTCTGCAGTGCCAGCATCTAACAATTCTTTAATAATGTCCATGCCATGTTGTGTCATTGATCAATAGTGATTAATTTACTGTATGAAGAGATTGAAAAAGTCACACAGATGCAAACAAAGACAAACAAACCTATGAGATTTCTGGCGTTAGGCACAGTATAGAAGTCAGGCAGATAGATCCATTTTATAAGGGCTGAGTTCATAAGCACGGGAGTGTTCCATCGCCATGGGTAGTCTACAGGGCAGAAGACACAAAAAGAAATACCATTAAATACAGGTGAGTAGAAGTAGTTACGCTTCAACAAAATGACTAGAGTCTGCAAATTTAATGTTTCCATGTTAATGAAGCCTTTTTGAATTTATTTGAATTGACTTGTACTATGGTAATATTCATTATTTGGGAGTACTGTTGTTTTATAATGTCCTCTAGTTTGATCTCATTTCATATCAGTACTCACCCATACAGAGAGCAGGTGGTATGCCAACGCACAGTAGAAACTGGAAGATCATGAAGATGGATAGAAAAAGACAATATCTGGGCCAGATCCTTGCAATAGCAGCCCGCTGTCGCCTTACCAAGATGGCTACCAACCAACAGCCATGGATTATCACCAAGAAGTTCATCCTCTGGCCAATCACATTCACCGTCATCAGGAAGCAAATCTTTATAAAGCAGAGAGGTATTTGGGAGATTCAAATACAGCAAAAGTGAAAGAAAACAAAATTATAATCAAAAATGATCTTGTCTTTTCCTTCCCTTGTGTTTTCCACTCATCGAGTGTATTGTTACTGTTATGTTCTTGAGACCTCTGTCGGTCTTTGATGTGTCCTGCTTTGTTTTGTGCTTCTTGTCCACAGTGTTACTTTATGGGTTTCCCTCCACTTTGATTGCTCATCAGTTTCACTAGTCTTGATTTTTTTCCCCGGTGCAATTAGTCTCTGTGTACCTTTCCTCCTGTGTCATATATAAATGATATTGTAATTTGTTTTGCCTTTGTAGATTTTCATTGGACACTTCAAAAAGTAAGCTTTCATTTATGCCTTTTTGTCTTTTTTTTTAATCAAATGTATTCGATTATATTTTGTGTTTTTACACAAAGTGACAACCAATTCTTGCTTATAAGGTTTTGTTATATTTTCTTTCTTTGTCATTAATCAGTTCAAATAATTATATTTATCTGATTCCCGGGTTTTTCTTAATTAAATGTATTTTCTGGTCTAATGATACAGACTAGCAATGGATGATGAGCTCAACAAAGAGATTCTGGGCAAAGGGTTGTCTTCTGTGCTCTTTGGCTAATAGTCTTCATCTGAGGGCAATCTCATTGAATTCTCATTCAATTAGTACCCTTTTTCTATTATCTATCCCAAAAAAACTGTTTGAGGATCTTTCCCAAATACCTCTAATCCAAATTTGTAGAAACCGTAGTTGAGCAGGTACTTGAAGCAGGGTATAAGTCCCTGGTCCAGAGTGTCCCTGGTGGCTTTCGGGAACAGAGCAGGGATGATGGGTGGAGATTGTTGGATCTGACGGTAGTGGTGAGTCTGATGACGATACACTGTCGCCTCAAACACCAACAACACCAGAACGATCAAATGGTTCTGCAAAAAAACATGAACGACAACTGACCCTTTAGAGAAAATGTTCAAACGAGGAAGCGGTCTCAGCGATATAGAAGCATTACTGTGGATTTGTTGGCTGCATATCCATGTTTACATCTCTTGTTTCAACAAAGTTACTGTTGTCTTTCGATCAGACTAACCCAGCATTTCTAAAACTTCCATAAATGTTAAACAAAACTATTGATACTGTGGCCATGAAAGACATGTGTAATTACTCACATTTCCTAACAACAACTAACACACACATTTACTCTACCTTGCTGTAACCCAGTACAGTGGCATCTTTCCTTATTCCAAACCAGTTGGCTGGATCCACTGGCTCCTTATAGAGAGAGGAATTGTTCATCTCCTCTGGTAACAGGTTGGTTGCATTTGTTAGAGGCTGTAAAGGGGAAAGCAAAGAAACTATTTCATAAGTATGACAATCATAATTGTATCTAATGGGACTACATTGATATTATGTCAGCTGAAGTTAGTGAAGGAATAACCATCTATTTGTCACTCATTACTTGATTGAAGAATGTGACATTTTACCTAAAATGTAAACAACTGATACAAAAATGTTTTACATGCAGGTATCCATAGAGTTAACTTATATCTGGAATTAAACCCTGTATTCACATCTAACCCTAATGTAGTTATTATTATTAAGTCTGTGTGACTGATATTAGAAAACATCCTTAGGCGTATCCATTTTAATCCATTTCTTTCTTGAAGATTATTTATTGAAAGAATGTAATGCAGCCATGAGTACCTTATATAACATACAATGGAAGTAAAGACCACAATTTATATTTTCTATTTTTCAAAAAGGTTTACCTTGTGTAATTCTGGACAAAGTCTAGATCAGTCCCAATAATGAGACCTTAATTATTGTATTATTTATTTTCATTTTTAAATGGTGTGATTAAATGTTCATTTTCAAGGTGTTGTAAGATAAATTACATATTAAGTATGTGAAAAAGAATTTTGGTCATCTTGAAAATCATACCTTTACATTTCAACAGAAGCGTTTTGCCTACGTCTGTCCCTTTTCCTCATCCAACCATTCATTCAATCCAGACAACTTGCTCTCTAGTTGTTTACATTAGAGATGCTGTCCCATCTCTAGTTTACATAAGATCAAATGTATACAGACCATTCACAAATACAACATTTAGACCCTACACATAGTGCCCCAAAGTACATGAAAAACAACTAGAGACCTATACAATGGGTGGAAAGTGGTGCACAGTACATCGCTGCTCTAAGCAGTTAATCACCCATGCAGCTTCTCATTTAAACATCCAGTGCCCACAATAAATGAGTAGCAAATGTAGTTGCACCCATTTATGTGCCATTGGGCCAGTTGATCCAACAGACATGACTTATAAAAGTAGAATATCATGCCTGTTGTTACAGATATACAGTACTTTAGTGTATGTGTGCATGGTTCTTACCTTGTCACAGTTACTGGAGTACTCAACAGGGTTGACAACACTGAGCTGGTACAACATCTTACACACGATGATGACACAAACCCAGACTGTAGACAGGCAGGAAGCCATAGGCCCAAATCGACTGTAAGGCATTGCCAGAGACCACAACACTACCAGGACCAGGTTCATTACAGATGGCTGCAGACAAACAGGACAAAATTTAGGTCTTTAGGCACCTGTACAAAATAGACTAGTTAAAGACTTTGTCATCAAGTTATATTCATCCCTCAGGCCAAGACAGAAACAAGCCATTCTCAACATGGATGTAAAACTAGATACAACTTATGTATGGGCTCTGATGCAGACTTTTTGATGCTAATTAAGGGAATTTTCGATTAGCCTAAAGAAATGCAGAAACTCTTGAGGGACATCACCATTGTTAATATGAAAATTGATCACATGATGTAGATAGTTCTGCCTGCCACAAAATGTAAACAAACTAATTCTGAATAAAGTATGCAAGAATGCCTGAACAAAGTAAGTGACAGCATTCAGCAGCTTGATGTTGTCATTTGTATGGTACTGTATGTTTGTTTAGTTGTTAGATCCATTGCTTTCCTGATATTAACATTGAAATGTCAAAACACAAATGAATACCTTTCTTTTAACTTAATGGTGTTCTTGTTCAATGTTTCTTCTACGACACAACAGGGGGTCCCATTTCTAATTTTTGTACCATTTAGAGCTATCATTTTAATTTTTTTAATTTTTTTAAATACTTTATTAATCCCTGAGGGAAATTCTGGAAATATAATTTGCTTTGCAGCATTTCCACATTTCCACAATTTCCCAGTTTGGGATCAATAAAGTAATTCTATTCTATTTCAGTTATTCTTTGTCCTACAACTTCCCCAACACACAACACCAATTCCCTTTGCATTTACCTCTTCAACTGCAACCCACACAGAGAAGAAGGCCACCATCTTGAGGATGTGGAGCTCCAGAAGCCTCCACAGAAACACTTGAACTTTCGTGAGATTGTCTGAGAACTTTCTGGACAGAACCAGTAACCTGTCCATCACCAGACCCCACTTACTGGGCAACAAGTCCACTGAAAGAAGGAAGAGGGAGGATTGATAACAACACGGAGAAGGTAAAGGGTGAGACTGGAGAAACAGGAAATTGAAACCAATTCAGAAGAAATCTTTTAAAAAATGTAACTCTGAAAAAGTGTCTTAATTTTAACCGCCCCAGTTTGTCCTACCTTCCTCTTCAGATTCCTCATCAATGTTTGTCACCAGGTCTTCCTCTTCAGAGTTTAACCCCACATTACTGGAGCCAAGTTGCTCCATTCTCTGGCCGTTCTTCTTCCTGGTGGCAGATTGCCTTATTAGTTCTAGCCAAAATAGTTAATTTTAACCAACACTTAGCAGCTAAAATATTCATATTCATTTGTGGTTTCAAGCACTCCAGAAAAAAAGCTGTTTATGTTTCATTCTTAGGAGTCAGCATCTTGGATGACAATGGACCTGTTCTAATCGTATTACTACTGAATGAAAATTCTAACAATTCCCAAATACTCAATAAATAAAAACTGTTTCACATTGGGATGTAATACCGTGTAATTATGTATGTTGTGAAATTTTACCAATTATAAAGACTTGGTTCAGATCTATTCTATCCATTTCTCCTGTGACCCCCTCACATCTCATAATGCTGACATCCAACTCTCATATATGCATCAAATCTCTGCAGATATGATGTTATTTTGAGTGATGTTCCCTCAAAATAAGACACAACCAAAAATAATTTACCACATTTCATAGTGACAACACAGCTATAAAAAGTGATATTACTTGTGTATTGGTGTAACATGATCCAGGTCAGTAATTCTCATGAAGGGTTTGTGAAAGTAGTGAAGCTGCAGAATGCAGGCCAACAGGAAGAAGCCAGGGATCAAAATACTGGTGAAGAGTTCAGACAGAGCAAATGTCTCCAGACCAATTGCTGCTAACCTGAAGAAAACAGTGGGCATTTCAAAACTTCATTACGTCAGTTCAAAAATATCTTTCTTATTTATTTCATACTACTACAACTACTACTACAATTATTATTACTGTTAGCTTATATATAATAATAATAATAATTTGTATTTTTGATGACTGTAGAAACAGCCTACAGCTGAAACAGAGAACATACTGCTCTTCTGTGAAACCAGTGAAGTTTCTCCAGTATCCAGGGAAGTCTTCAAACTGATAAGTGTAGATGGAGATCAGCACCAGCATGGTGTAGGCCACAACTAGCCACCAGAAGAGCTTCAACAGACGCCTCCATAAAGAATAGTATACCTGAGAAATCAGATAAGTTACTCATTTCAATTTAAAGATAATTGCAATAATAACTTCAACGGTTGATTAAAATAATGTTGTCACAACCCAACTTTGGTCACACATATCAATCCTAAATAAATATTTGTAATAATCTGATGACCTATCTTAATGAGCCTCGAACACTCAGTAAAAATGAAGACTTTCAACATGAATCAGTGACCGATAGGCATGTTCCTACCTGATATAGACAGAGGCAGAGAAGGAACAGCAGCATATAGATGATCTTGTATCCAACAAGTTTGCCAGCAAAGGAAACCATGATGAACATCCCTCCACACACATAGATCCAGTATTTGGCATAACAGCTCATCACCATACCTCCCGCAACCTTTAGCACTGAGTCATTAGCAGCGCTCTCTTCTGACAGAAGGGGTTTCAAAGATAGGAAAAGGAGGAAATTGGATGTTGAAAATGTCATTCATTCAGGAGGATTATATACATTGTAGGAAGTACACAAATGTGTCATCTACTATGGACGAGTATGATTTGTGTAAAAAGCTTGAATAGAGAAACTAGCTATTTAACTTGATAGCAAAAAAAGTAAATGTCGAGAGGGCTTACATTCATACAAAAACAGACCACGACCTGATGATTCATTTCACATTGCTGGGTTCAAGATTGTATTCAGTTTGTAACTTCACTTTTACTTTAAAATGATTATCGTCAACCTCATATTCTTGGTAAAGTACAATAGAAACTTGACATGTGCTTTTGATGGGCTTGACCTCAGACAACTTAATGAGTTGTGTATGCTTTCAAAAAATATAAATCTTTCAACTTTTATGTGCGGGTGTTTTTGAAGAAAGATGTTTCACCTCCTGTAGTGACTTCCTGTAGGGGTGTTGCCATTTTTCTCTTCAAACTGAAGTTTTCTTTCACTGACTGACGTACCAACAGCCAGAATGTTAACGTAAACAGCAGCTGATGGAGAAAGTGAGATAAAATAGACAAAGAGAAACAAAAATAAACATAGACACTTGGTTTCATTTTTGTCCATGTGTGTACCAAGGATAGATGTGGAAAAAGTAGGAGAATGTCACTTAACAAGTGACTGAATTAAATTGTAAATAAAATATTGAGGTCCAGTTTCTCTTACTCAAACTTTTAGATTATATGATTTGATTAAATCTACGTATATAATGGAATTTGGCACAAGTACTGATGGTTATAATGCTGAATATATTATTTAATAATGCCTTGAGTTTTGCTATTAAAGTTTGTTTGAGGTAGCACAGCCATGAGGTTTTGGTTTATGTTCAAACAAGTGACCGGCAGAGCTCCTTCCTTGTAGTACTGTGAGTAGAGATGAACTACTACTTTATCTGATGTGTATCTCTTAACTTTACCGACAAGCTCCAGCTTCTATCAGCCAGTTTTCACAGCCAGGAGTCAGTGATAATGTGATAACGATTTATACCAAAAGAAATGTCACAATAAGTCACATATTTGACCCAATTTCATCAAGTCATGAAATATTGATATGCTCTTATCTTACCATAGCTCCCAGCCTTAGACATGGGTACTGGGGTCTGTCTAGTCCTAACTGGCTGAGGCTCATAGTTCCCACTGTGGTTGGCAGTTCAGGCTCAAGCTCCATAGCCCAGACATACTGCAGGCAGCATAGAGCCAGGCCATAGAGCAGGATGAATGGAGAGCACAGTGTGGCTGCATGTCGTCTGCAAAATAAATGCAAATTTGAAATGTAAATAAAAGTTCAGTTCTTAAGAATATCAGGATGTTTTTTAGCTTCCTGATTTGTTCTGCCAGTGTGTCAGGGGTAACAATACCTGGCACGCAGAATCCAGATGAGACAAGCCCATAGCAGCAGCACAAACGTCAGCCAGTTATGATACGTTATACTCCAAACCTGAAAACATGGGCATGAAAACAGCACATGAGAACAAGGAAAATTATGATCTATGAGATCAATAGTTTGATGCAGCCACTGAAGGTTGAAGGTGAAGAAATTGAACTGAACTGACTGTGATTGTTAGCCATTAAGTTCAGTTTTGCAGATTTAAAGTTAGACTAAAGGTAAAGTCTACTATATTGCTCGATAAATGTTATTCTATAAAAGTATAAATGGCTTTACAATAGTTACCATCATAGCTATGAGAGCACAGACATAGCTCTGCTGCATGACCACCTTTCCCAGCAGGAAAAATGGACTTTCACTCTGTTGGCCAACGGTGGGGCCACTATCACCTGCCAAAAATAAATGAATACATTAACATTGGGTGGATGGATGGATGGATCCAGAGAGAGTGAGAGAGAGAGAGAGATACAGGGATGGATGGATCGTTTTACTGGTTGCTTTAATTGTATCCTCTAAAAACAAGTTCCCTAATCTGGGAGGCTTGTTTGAAGCCCATCAAATTGTCTGACCATGATATCAGCTATCAACGCACTAAATACTTAGGACAACAAATTAAAATGTTTCGACCTTGCCAGGGTGTACCCCTCTTTCGCACAATGGCAGTCTTTAATTGACCACCAAATGTTTCATCCATTTTATCCCAGGGTTTAAGCTGATGTGAAGTTGGTTTATTTGAAATGAAAAACTAAAAAGGTTGTTGCAATTAAAACAAACCAACTCTTGAATGAGAGAACAATTTGTTTTTTGATCAAATTTGATTATACAGTTTCCATCTTGAGGGTCACTTCATAGTCATAGTCTTCTGTGTCACAAATGAGTTTTTACATCATCAAGTATTTGTAAAAATCTAAATCCTAAACACATATTCTACTGTTGTAAGGTTTGTATATTCAGAGTCATTTTAAAAGAAGAAAATACATTAAAGTTTTTTAGAACGATAATAAGAGAATTCAAGTAATTTATACCCAGATCTTGTTGGCTATCTCCTGTAGCCGTTCCTCCTCCGCTGCTTTCTGTTCCCATAGGCAGAAGCATGATCTTAAAGAAGAGAACAGAACTTTTAGGATGCAGGTATCACACCTCCATGAAAATGTGAACAGATTTTATTAAAACATTTGGTGTCATCATTTAATTCTTCTAAAAATAACACCTATTAATATCAACATGTGGAATACAAATCATTTTCTTATTATAGTTTGTAAAGATGGTAAATCTCAGCCTTTAGCACTGCACTTTGAAAGTGTATAAAATGAACCCTAATGAATAGTTGTCACATAAATATGAGCCTCTACCTGTGTATCATCAACTTTTACTATATTCTATGACCTTACCTCGACCTCCTCCTCCTCCTCCTCCTTCTTTAACACACTGCTTTTCTCCTCCATTTTCTTCTCCCCAATCTGCTGAACATACATGCAGTTACAAATTGAAATAATTTTTTGATTAAGAAATGTATAATATCAATGAGATGTTTTGTTTTGGTTGCAGAACCTGTGTTCAAATTGAAATCATTTTCTTCATTCTTGATTTGCCAATGACTAATCATGTGAGAAAGTACATTCTTTCTTCTTTTATTTTAGCTTATCTAATTTTGCTGCTGCACTGATTAGTGTCATTGTTAGTGAAACAGTAAACTTGCTAAACACAGAATGCACACAGTAAGCAACAGCATGTTTTGTCATGCATCGGCACCACCTTTAACATCTTTCAAACCAATCCATCTAAACATTCAAAGAAACAATTGTATTTATTTTTTGTAATATTGTTTTATTCTGCTATGGAAACTCTGCAGTCAGTAAAAAAAAAAAAGAATATACCTGGTTTGGTGCTCCATGGCATCCTGTTTTCAGAACAGTTGCAACAGTAATGTAGAGAAGGAATAGTATTCCAGGGTTGACATAAACCGGCCAATCATGATCAGCGTTAAGGTTGAGGTCATTGGGCGAGGAGCAGTTTCCTGGTATGATGATGTCCTTCAGACCAAAGAGTCTAGACACAAGAGAGGGGTTGTAGACAGATACAACAGGATACTGTTACTCATTGGTTTATGCAACAAATGCTAATTCTAAAAGAGCTGACAATCTTGAGAATGTTTCCTAAATAATGTCACTGTTCTCTGTTCAATGATGTGAAGAAATGATGAAAAGGGAATGTACTTTGTAGCCTTTGAACAGCTTAATATTGCCTGTAGAGGACCCCAGAATGCTATTTCAGTATTTAACAGAAGGATTTTAAATGCACCCTAATTTCTTTGTATAGATCCTGATATTTTTCAAATATTGTTCTGGGCTTGAAATGTCTTTGATTAAGTACATCATGCACTAATGTTTTTGAATGGGTTGTATGGTTATGCCACCTTGTGGTGCCTTTCAGTATGTCTAATTACGGGATAAAGGAAATAGTATTACATTTAGCCCCCTCACATATGCATTGAGATGGTTACAGTGTTGGTCGCGTTCAATCCAAAAATGGCTGTCAGGTTGAGCTTAAGCGGGAGAACCAGAGGGATCATCGCTCAAATTTGCATGATTGTTCCTCATACTTAAGGACAAAGTGCCAGAGGTTTCAGCGCATTTTGGCCAACTAGAGTACCAGGTGAGACATATTTTGGTTATTCCTTAACACTCAGCTGAAGCTGTAATATGTTTAATTGGTTTGAGAAGATTTAAAACTTTACTGAGAACATCAGATGGCCAAATAGGCTAAATAGGCTAAATCAGGTTGGAAAAGCTGGACAGGCAGGCCTGCCTTACTGCTTCATAATGCTGAGCGACATTTGAAAGTATATCAATGTGCCACAATTATGACTATTTGTGAAGTTTGATAAAGAATCCTACAACAATAAAGGCACATCTCTGATCATCTCTACTGCCTGCTGACAATTAAAGAGCCAATCACAATGGAAGGCAGAGAGGTTGTATAACTGTCTGCTACAAACTTGGAAGCTTGCTTCTCACCTGTTAAGGAATTGTCCTGGGGCCAATACATGAATAAAAAAATCTATTGAATTGAAAAGTTTCATCCTTTTATGTAAAGTGTCCATCAGTCTTACCTTGCCCAAAGGGTGTGTGGAGGGAACAAGGCCTGAGAAAGCAGACTCTGGTACAAGTATAGGCAAAGCATGTGCCCCGATGTGAAGAAGCCCACCATTACACACAGCGCATTAAAGCCCAGGTGACTGATAGGAAGATGGCACGACCACCATGTGCACACACCAATGAAAAGCAGGAAGTAGATAGCTGAGAAGGCAGAGGGCAGTGTGATGCCTGGGAGGGGAAAAGAGCAGTGGTCAGGGACATTTAAATTCAAACCAGGGCCCATACTATGAAAGTCTAAAAGGCACAAAGTGGTTTGTGCTGTGTCCTTCTACATTTTGCTAGTTAGACAGCACATAATCTGGGCACAGAGTTAAGCACAGGGCGCAAAAGAGATGGGTTTCCCTGGAAAGTCACGTGATAGTTGGGTGAAACATTCATCGAACCAATCAGAGTGTAAGATCTTGCGACCTGTAAGAGCCAGTTGCGCCGGACACCTGGTAAACTAGCACAATGAAATGCTCTCTGTGATTAACCGAACCCAGGATGGCGCATTTAAGAGAGCTTAACCCCTGCTTGGGTTGATCAGTTTTACACAGTGTAACTAGCAAAACGTAGTGAGACGTGTTGTGTTTTAGACAACATGTTGCAGACTGTGAAAATAGAGTCCATTATGTTAGCCATTATGGCACTCATTTTAAATGTTTTTAAAAAGAAAAAATTGGAGTGTGCCGGATGAGATTTTCATGTGTGACCTTTCAGGGAGCCTGACAGGTAGGAAAAAGCAGAATCTATGATCATTTGATAGTCATTAATGTAAAATAATTGCTCACTGTACCAGTCACCAGACTTTGGTGTCACTTTTTCACCCCCTTGTTCATGCGTTTTGAAATAATATGGACACTTGATAAGGTTTTGATGTAACGCAAATCCTACCAGCTAAAGCCAGAAGGCTGACAGCCAAGACTCTCCCCATGTCCCGCAGAACTTTGGGTGCTGTGGCCTTCAGACGCTCAGCCAGTTGCTTTGCTCTGGTTACTGGGGAAACTTCCTCATCAGGGTCTCCAGGTAATGACCTCTCTTTCTCTTCCTCATCTTCTTCTTCTGATGCCTCTTCCTCCTCCACATCTGCCACTTCATCATCTGTACTGTTACCTGTTACATCATCATCTAGCTAAGTGGAGAGATGGAGAAGAATAAGTTACAATGACAAAGCTAGAGTTGAGTCTCACAAATGACAATTGTGTATGTTTTCAACAATTACAGATTAGATGCAGCACCTGGAAATAAAATGTTTACGTAACAGATTTATTGTTGGTTGTATTGATTGTCAAAATTTAAAAACTGCAAAAAGCTGCAGGATATTGTGCTAATTTCCCAAGAAATATTTGAATACCAAACTAAAATACATGTGATGTTTTAAGAAAAGAACATTTGTGGTAAAGCTCCCTTAATATTAACTCAGTCACTTGATTTCCTCATGTTATTCTGAAGTGTTGAAGTCTAAAATTGAGCACACAGCTGACAGGAATTCAGCCTGTTCACAAATAGACAACTTAAACAAGGACAACACCAACAGTCAAATCTATAATAAAAACAGACTTTGAATGTCACACACATAAAGCTAACACAATATAAAACATCAACAATATAATAAGTAAGGAGCTCATACCGAATCCATTATTATTATTTTTTTTACCAAGTAATGCAAAGTGCAGTCTGGAGATTTATAGTAGAGGGCAGTAGTGAAAGGTTTAATGGTACACTTAACCCAGAGAGATTGCAACATGTCGTCACTCTTCATTGTAAAAGATTAAAGAGAAATACTCAAGCTCTCATGTTTCTCATTTAATCACAATCTAACTGTCTGACTATTAATAAAAACAGAACACCCCCTTCTTTTGTGTCACTGCCAACAACTTTAGATATACACACACACACACACACACACACACACACACACACATACTCAGAGAGTAATCTAATATCCCTGTGAGAACCAGCACATAAGAGAAGAAGCAAAACACTCTGACATGACATGGAGCAACAGGTGGCTAATATCTGACGTTACTTATTATATTACTGCGCTAGGAATTTCACGACTCTGCCACCTTCTAAAGAATGTGACAGAACTGATGTGTAGAAGTATCCAGTAAGAAAGAGGAGATTTGTTAGCTTAGGGAACCCGCTTGATGTTGGTAGATTATATATTATTCAAAATGGAATCCCAATGCATTACTTTTTTTTGTTGTTGCAAGAGGTGCAAGTAATTTCACCCTGAAATACTATTAACTACAAGTTTACGAGCAGTGCATTGAAGTATAAAAGCACTGATAAACTATTATACACTTCCTGGCCAAAACTAGACATTAGGCGGACACTGTTTGAGACACACTGGTGAACATAGCGGAGCTGCTGTAAACACTGCAGCTCATGCATGAATTATGTGCATGAAAATGTTTCATCTTAAGTTCTTTTTTTTTGTAGAAAATTTGAGTGTTAAACAAAACTTTCTCCCTTAACTTGTTCTTAAGTTGGAACAAAAGTTAAACTGAAAACACCAGACCAGACATGAGCCAAAATGCATGAAAGCTAATCTGCTGCTGGATATGGGTTGGTTATTTGTGATAATTGATAATTATGAAGGAATTAAGAAGCTTTTTAACATAAATCCACCTTTTTTATTACAGAGATCAGGGGTGTAAAACCATTACCAACCCTCAGAGCCAGCAGGAGGTGGACTATCACCAGAAACAGAATCACAAAGTGCTCAGTGTTGGAGCTCACTATTAGTTCACTGAATAGACCGTTTCTGAGTTTAAATGTTAAATTTTCTTTGTTTTTACATGACAATGTAGTCGTCTGCCTTTATATAACTTATTGGTGCAAGTATGTACTCCATTGTCCCCTCCACATATTTTGACCCAAATCTCTGTAGTATTTGTTTGGGCGGTTGCCTTGGAGACAAAAAAAAAGAATGAAAGTGAGAGGGTAAAAAAAAAAGGTGAGATGGAAAAATACACAGATCTGACTGAGGGACGGGAGAGTAGGAAGCTCAACTATATTCGGCAAAGCTAAAGCAAGAAGGCATGGTAACAATTAGGGCTGAAAAGCTGGCACACTCTTTCCTTTACATCGTGCACACAGTATGTCAGCAATGATTGCAACTTACTCAAAACATTGAAAGGCTACAGAAGAAAAACTGGAAATCTGTCAAACAGCATATTATTACATGCCATTTGTTACATTACTTCTAGAATGCAAAGGAAAAACTAAGAAGGAAAACATCAAATAAAACAGTTATTTTACCCTTATTTTACTTGGCATGAAATCAGGTGTAAGGTACAGCTTGTAAAGTAAGGTTCCCAGAGTTTCACAAGAACAATAATCATATAACTCTGTCATAAAAATTGACAGGTAAATGAGAGGGAAAGATCGATAAGATCAATAAGGGCTCTCTAAAAAGTCTGCTGCCTTCCTAAAGACCTGGTCTAATGGCAGATAACATTTAAAAGCCTAACTAAAGTAGGAAGGAGAGCTGACTGGAGGCTATAGAGAGTGGGTCACAGCAGAATATTGAATATATTTTTTGTTCCCTTATATACTGAGGAAGTTCTGCTCCTGCACCATTGAGAGAACCCTACATAAAAAACATCAAGCTCAAACCTACATACTACAGAGAGTGTTTAAATAAACACTTGGCTGCTTTTAAGGGTTTGGGTTTTGTATCTATTATTGTGTTAGTAATCCACATGGTACCAACACAAAGGCATTTCAGGAAGAAATTATGCCAGAAATAGCAAAAAAAAAATTAGACAAGTGTGCCTACTACAGAGACAGAAAGAAAATAATTTCAATAAATCACAGACATAAACCTGTAAGTGTTGGAGCTACTGATCAGATTTAAATGAAGAAGACAAAAGGAATTCGGTTTTCAGTTTTATCAGGTACTCATAAACGGGAAGCCTGTCTTGGCTGCAGATTTTTTTTTAAAGTAACTATATCAATCAGGTCTAACTAGGTCTCGTTTTTCTTTTTGTTTAAAAAAAAAAAAAAAAATTAGGTTATTCATTTAATCTGACAGTGAGAATAACTTATCATACAACTGGTTATCCAGTTAAAATACTAAATAAAACAGCTCCACAAAATAATCATTCATTAACATTTTTGCAAACACAAACCCACATACACACGTATTCACACACAAACACACAGATACTCACTGACGTAATGTTGGCAGCAGCTACCATTTCTCTGTTCCTGACCAATCTGCTGCAGAGGATCATTGTAACGAATGTAACCACACACACACCCAGGTCAGGACACAGAAGACGTAACACATTCCAAGGATCTTCCAAGGGAAGCCTACAAGATAAACACATGCATGTATGGAAAGGGTGAAAGAGGGCCAGCATTTCATAATATAACACATGCATGCAGATGCAGGATTGTGCCTAATATTCTTCTTCTTCAATCAATTAGTCCTAAATTGAAATACATGGGCATCAACTTTGCACAAAAAGTAGACCATTGTCTGAATACCATTTAGTGTTTTTCACTGATAAGAAAAAGCAATCATCAATAACAGTGTAAAGAATTAAAGGCGCAACACGTAATCAAACTTAACACCTACCTGGACAGTCCTATATGTCTGGAAATAGTGTCCCATCGTGAACAGTTTTCACCTATCGCTATGTTGAGAGGAGGATAGGTGTACAGTACCGTCTGGAAGCAGATATGAGCCAGTACAAATAGGACACTGGTACAGAATACCACTTTGACAAACCGACCAGTGTGACCTGGAAGATAAAGAGATGAGACACACGTGAAAAAAGCAGAGGAAAACCCTAGTTCCATTAGAAAGGCCTCCACAGTGTATTGAAGCTTCTTTATAGTGAACTTAGATACAGAGTTCTTCAAATGCTTTGTTTTGGCTAACCTACAGTCAAAAATCCAAAGATATTCAGGTAACTTTCCCAGCAAATTTTCTGGCTAAAATAATGGCCCTAATGTTTGAAAAAAAGTTTCTTAGGTTTATTAGTCAGTCACATACTGTATGTTTAAGAACTCGGGGCGTGGAAACAAAAAAATGAGAAAAATCCGATATGAGAGTTAGGGTTAGGGTTTGTGCCAACACAAATGATCCTACCTTTGATTGTGTGTTTGTTTGGACACAGTAACCATGGCAGCAGAAGCAGGTAGAGAAAGTAAACCAGGGACAGGACATTGTAGCGAAGAAGACAAGCTGCAAAACAAAAACATGAGCATCAGACTAAAGTTTCTTTTGACGTAGGCTACAATTAGAGATTCCAGCATTTATTACAAGTTAGTATACCATAATATCTTGCCTAGCATGCTCATTATCTCTGATCATCAGCAAGACATGAAACTGCAATAAAGCATATATGATCCTATACACAACCACGAAAATATGGGAACAACAGGGGACTAAGTGGGAACCTAATGTAGAATACAAACTAACATTAATAAACATGAAACCTGTTTAATTCAACCTATTTTGGTAAAACAAGACACTCTATACAAACTGGAGGCTCACATCATTGTCTAATTGGGCACATGGCCTCGTGCAGCCTAATTACTCGAGAGGGTGTGTGGAATTACTCTGCTTGTTGCAGTAAGCTTAGGGAATGTGGGGGCAGGTGAAAAAGTATGGAGGAACCTTTTCAGGACATCACAAAATGTAAAAGAAAATAGAACATCAATTAACAAAAAATGTGTCAAAAAATGGAAAACATTTATGACTTGTCAGTATCAACATTTGTCCTCTGACATTATTCTAAAACATGAGAGGTATACCCTGAATATGTTGACTCCCTATAGGTTTTACAGCAAGCCTTCATGTCTATATTAGACATGGAGTCTTTAGCGTAGTCTTCCATGTGAGTTATGAGACCTCAAAAGGAGAAAAAGCATGCTGTTTGAAACATAGTGATCTAATTAAACCTTCATTTAACTTTTCAGGTGGAGACCTGGTTTAGTCAGCACACCAAATAAAGTTTTAATGAAAATAAAACAAACAGAAAGATAACATAGATAAAGATGAAGAAGCACACAAGAACAAGACAAGTAGACCTGTATCAACATGTGTCATTGGTGATGGCGTTAGAATGCATCTCCAAATGTATTCCTAGTGATTTGATCCCACTTCCTGCTCTACATGCAAGCAGGAACAAAAAAACTATATCACTACATGCAGGAGAGAGAGAGAGAGAGAGAGAGAGAGAGAGAAATGTAGAAAAGTATTCCACTAACGTTCTATCATTGTCAAGTTTTTTACTTTGTGTTAAGAAGCCCTCTGTTGTGGCTTTTATGCATTAAACATTTTTTTAAAGATTTTTGTTAACCCCAAACTTAAGTTGATAGAAGAAATACTGATTTAAATATCAATTAGTCTCTAGGATAGTTTTTGGATTGCTTTTTAGTCTTTAAAGAATGAATACAAAGTAGTGGTGCATTTCACTATTTCCTTAGACCTGAGATGTTGAGAGTGCCAACCTTCTGACACCAAAGGGAATCCATTTAAAACACTGTGAAATAGGGAAAGCAGCCACCATCAGTAAGTACTCTTGTAACTGGTTAAGAGGTCACAGTTTATTGTTTTCTGAAAAGCCATTTCTGTGCACTGTCATCATCATCTGAGGAGAACCTACACATTTGTCTTAGTTTGCAGATTTCTCACCCATGAAGAAAAGTATCTGCAGTTTTGTTTTGTCTTAATGTAAGTTAAAGGAGGAAGGGGGGTAGCTTTAAGTAATGGAGTCAATCTGCAGACATTAAGATCTGAGATAAAACAACGTGCAGGCTTGTTTCCTCTTGTTTCCTCTTGTTTCCTCTTGTTTAAGACGTGCAGTGATAATAATCAGCTCACCATCAGTTTGTTGGGATCACAGTTTCATATGGAGGCGACAGGTTTATCAGTCCCATCTTAATGTTCAACTTGACTTTATTTTACCTTCAGTTTTGTTTCCAGTGCATCTCCTAAAGATTCTCTACACAACTCACATGTTGAAATGTAACATCTGACTCACAACTCAGAGCCTTCACTTGTTAAATGAATCATTCAGACACACATGAACAATCACAGACAAAAAAACGGAGGGCTGTTCATTAAACAAAAGGAATGTGTTGTTAAGCATGTTTTCATTTATATTAAATACAATGGCTTCAACATTATAGGTTGTGATAAATCCAACAGCGTCTTCTTTTTTTACTTTAAACATAAAGTTAATCTGGTGATGCAAGAAGACAAGAAGAAGCACAACGCTACTTCATACACGCCTGCTTCACCCCTCGGGTTATTCCTGCTCGAGCTCCGCACAGAACAAAACTCCAGATGAGACTGTCACCAAGCTGCCAATCATGCATGCTCACTCTATACAGACACCCACAAGCTCTTGTGTAATACCATGGATTCCAGGAGCAAAAATATGTAAACAAATGTTTTCAGCCGACCTTTATTCGATGCAACGCACACAGAACATTAGTTAACAGAAGGTCCTGTTGGCAAGTCTGGAGATTTGAACAATTAATGAAGTTAGACGGTTACGCTTGTGTGGCCTGTGTGTGTTCTGCATGTACAGAGCTGAGCAGGTGTCTATAGCAAATGATGGTGCACCTACCTGAAGGTGCACATGCTATTAAAGGGATTGAGAGCTGACACTCTGATTGGTTTCGTTCATGTTCCACCAAAAACTTACCAATGTATAGCTAAGGGCAGCTAATTGAACATCTTTGCATCCTGCACCTCACTTCAATATCTTCATTGTTATATTCAGGAATCTTCAATCAACAGGAAGGCCTACACTGCTATAATTGTGCTGAACCGGTTTGTGCTCCCCAGGCATGGGAAGGGTTCCATGATGAACATTTTGTTTAGTGCAAAGAGTATTGCATATCCCTATTCATCACTATAGTTTGAACATTGCAGCCTGTGGAGGACGTATACACAGGGCTGTAGACTTTTACATTTGTTTCCCTTAATCAACTGAACGGTCAGTTCAGTTTTAAAAAAACTACATCCGTAACAATCTTGTTTACACCTCTATTAATTTCACTCTTTCTTTCCCCTCTCTCTCTGAATTGCTTTTCATAAGTTATTGTATAACACAAACATGACTTGTGATAGAATAAAGGTCAAACACACAAGCTCTCTGTTATTTCCTCCAGTGACTGAAGTAGAAAATATGTAGTCTTCCTGCCTGTCTGAAGGAATTGGACCACCCCAGAGGGAGTTTTGTAAACATCACGCTTCCTACCTGGCTTCCTTTAGAATTATTTTTTTAAGGTTTAGTTTTTATCTCTTTGTCTATTACTTTCAACATAAAACAGTCCAACGCAAATCATAGAATCAAGTTTGTGTTGGTGAGCAGATAGGGATTATAAACAGGCATATGAGACCCTGGATTGATCTTGATTGTATAATGTCGCACTAAGTTTATAAACTACAATGTCATAAAAGATTGATAGCGTAAGAACACTCAAACAGGAACTCAATATAGTCTACACAAAAGGGGTTTTGTTAAGTACACACCTTACTGTAAGTCTTTTGATGAAGTCATTTGTTATGACCAGAGGCTGTTCTGGTGAAACCTGTATGATTACAGGATATCAAAGCTACTGATACTTCACTCACATGTTTATTGCTCCTTCTCCTGGTAAGCCACAATCTTGTTTCCTTTATTACATATTCTTGGATACTGGATGTTTCTGTGCTACATTGCCTCTGATATTCAACAAGTGCCATAAATAATGCTGCCTTAGTACTTGTGTGGAATCCTCCCCCCCCTCCCAGCCTTAAATAAAACCATTGTTCTCACAACATGAAGATGTCTAGTCAAAGTGACCTAGAAACTGGAGATGTGTTCTTCCTTTCCTAATTTTTAACATCTTAATATGTTAAGACATCTTGTCTTAACATGTCTTACTGACACTGAATTGACTGAACCAGACTTTCATTTTTTCTTAAGGCTGCTATTGTGTACCAAAACGTATATGCTATAGATGATGATTTCAAGGTTTCTAATTTCTTCATTTCAAAGCAGAAATTCATTTTAATAAAAAAAAAGTTTCCTTTTCTTTCAAAAACATATTTTTCAATCACATTTCAAATTGACTCAAACTTTTGAGCGGTAATGTTTGTGACTCATATGGTTCATCATGGCCAAGTGACTCAGGCAATCCATGCTGTGTTGGTATGTTATCTGTGTCTGTTCACACCATTGTTCTCCAACAGGTGGGGAAGTAATCATTTAAGGACTATCCCAACATTTTTCTGAACAATGATTTCAACCTTGAGCTTTTTTTTTTTCATAGAGAAAACACTTTATATGACATTAGTGGCTTAGTTGGGACCATTTTAGAAGAAATAATTCTTTTTTAAAAACAACATGTAAATATTGGGCCTCTGGTCCTCTGTGGCAATCAGTTCTACAATTCTACAATTCACTTAGCAGACGCTTTTATCCAAAGCGACGTACATCAGAGAGTAAGTACAACACAAGCAAGGATCTAGAAAAAGGAAACGATGTCAGTAAGAGCAAATGATCAGCTTTGAGTCCGATTGGACACACAGGTGCTGACAGGCATTGCACAGAGGCAAAGCACAACACTGACGGCAGTTCTTGAGAGCTCTAATCAGTATAGAAACCATCTTAGAGACGCCGTTATCAAACAAAACCATCGTCACAACCATCACCATCATCAATAATATGGAGACCATCATCATCATTAAAGTCGTAGCACTTGATATCAGGAGGGTTGAATTTGTTTCAAAAGTGAAAAATTTGGATTTTTTGGAAAAATGGATTACCATAGCATATCCAGAGTCAATGAGACCACGTCTGTGAGCTATTTCAGACAGACAACTCCAGCTGCATGGATTTTATTGATTCATTTGACTAGCCACCAACAAAGTAGCAACTACCCTTCCTCGTGTCCCCTCATACGAGCATTCAATGAATATAGACACAAATTACATCATTAAAAGTCAAATAACAAAGGAAAAAGACAATAAAAGAAATAGTGGTGGGCGATATAACGATCTAAGATCGTGAAGGATTTTAACATGCTGACGATCTGCCAACGCAGGGAGATCGTAGAACCGGGCTCATGTGTTTATTCTATCATGCTGCAGTTTACGCTCCGACACAGACGCGTTTTAGCTCCGCAGCGGTGAAAACAAAAACGAAACTTAAAAGTAAAGTCCGCAAAAACAACTCCATCCCG